GTGACCAACAATCTTTCTATAAAGAAACCACTGAAGCAGATTCACTACACTATAGTATTAGATATTAGGTAAAATGAATCTCACAGCAGATTGATTTGCTCAACCAAATGGACAGATCTGGGTGCAATTTGGTTAATCGAAATTCTAAAGTCCATTTACTGCTGATTCACCACAGGCATAGGCAGCTAGGACCTAAACCTAATACATGGAAGCACAAAGCTTTCACCTCTCTCACCAAAAAAAACAGTACTGTTGGAGTATCACAAACGAGAACTGGATTACACAGCCAGATCACTGCTAAATAAATCATTAGGGAACAATATGTTCACTGAATCTGAAAGAGGGACAGAACCTATAAACAAAACTTTCTTTGCTAGAACCTCCTATTACTTCTCAATATGGCTTTCAGACAAGACCAGTCTAATAATTCACATGGGTATGTATTTTTTATTGTTGATGCCAATTATATATCTTATACTTTTTGTTGCTACTCTGAATAAGATCTTTTATATCTCGTATTTTCTATATAAGAAAAACAGCCTCCAGTTACTGTAAATTGATTTAACTTGTCACTTTATAAATTCTCTTATTTCTTCTATTCATTTTTCAGTTAATCCTCCTTGCATTTGAATAGACATTTATATCACCCATAAGCAATAACATTATCTTCTACTTTCCAAACTTTTAACAGTTTTAAAAAGCATTTATAATGCTTTCCAAAGAATGACTATATTCATAATGAGAAAATTCTTGTAGTTCTAATTTTAATGAATTTCATTGTTTATTAAGTGGTTGTCGAGTTAAATTATTTAAAAATAATTTTAAATAAATACTTTTTCTGTTTCAGAATTTTGAAAGAATTTTTAATAATAGTATTATTTGACTGCTAACAAATAATTTTTCTGCTTCAACCTTCTGAGGCGATGTATTTTATTAACAGATTTCCTAATACTGAACTATCCTTCAATTTCTTGGCATGAACCCTACTTAGTTGTTATATATTATTCCTTGATTATACTTCTTGATTCACTTTGTACACATTTAACTTAGGATAAATGTACATACATTTATCAGTGAGGCTGATCTACAGCTGTTCTTCTGGAGAATGAAGACTATGGGATACACAACATCATGCCAGCAACCGTGGGAACCCTCAGGAGTCACACAACATCAATTTTACTTGAATATTTGGGGTAGAAGAAAATGAGAAATTTTACTGTCAAGTTAAAATGTTGTCTTAGTCTTCTTGGGCTGCTATAACAAAATACCACAGACTAGGTAGCTTATAAACAACAGAAATTTACTTCTCATAGTTCTGGGGGCTGGGTAATCCAAGAGAAGGGCTCCAGCATGGTCACCTTCTGATGAGGTCTCTCTTCCTGGTTCATAGCCAGCACCTCCTCGCTGTGTCCTCACAAGATGGAAGGGATTAGGGATCTCTCTGGAGCCTCTTTTATAAGAGCACTAAGCCCATAACATTGCATTCAGCGTTAGGATTTCACTACGTAAATTTGGGGGCGACACAAACATTCAGACCATAGCAAATATTTTTAAACAAATGTGGAAATATTATCAAATAAAATTGTTTGCTTGAATTTTTCAATATAAACTATGAGTTGCTAAACAGAAAGATAACTCCTTTGTAATAGGTCCTCTGAGGCCCATAGTAGTTCTTGTTCACACTGGAAACATATGAGAGGACAAAGCGAAAAGCACTAAATCATAGTTCTATATTTTTGTACATTTTCAAGTTTTGGTATCATTGAGTCTATTTAAAAGCTTTCAAATTCCATAGTCTGGAACATTCTATATAGAATTAGAAATGTATGCTTTTTGGACATTTCAGAGAAAATGTTCATAAATCCAAACAGAACCAGAGGTTTTAGAAGGAGATTAGCCTTCTAAAAAACTTATTGTTACTGACTATTCTTATTTTCTACTTTTTCTTGGATCAGTATTGAGTCAAATTTCCTTTCTTGGGTCATTCAAAATTTCTTAAGCCAAATTTCTTTGGTCAATTTTTCTTAGATAATCATCTGTTTCATGCAGAGCTTCAAATTTAGCCCAAAATTGTGTACAGTACACTCAAAAATTTTTTCTAGTATGTATTTGCAGCTATATTCACTTTATTTTATTTTGGCATTTATTTTCTTTCTCTTTTTTATTAGACTTTTCAATGTTTGGTTTACTACGTGGGCTTTATTTTTTTCTTCAGGGACACATTCATATAAGTGACATCAATTTTTCTGTTTTTCTATTTTCTGTCTTTGATTTCTATTATCTTTATTATTTCCTTTCTCACATTTTTCTCAATTTTTATTTGCTTCTTACACAACTTCTTTTTCTTCCCTCAACTTTACTGAGATATAACTGACATATAACATGTGTAAGTTTAAAGTATACAATGTATTGAGTTGACACATGTATATATTACTAAATAATTACCACAATAAGGTCGGTTAACACATCCTTCGCCTCACATAATTACTTCTTTTGTTGCTGTTTTTCTTATGGGGAGAACATTTAAAATCTATTCTCATAGAAACTTTCAAGTATTTCAAATAACAGTATTTCCTTTTAAGTTAAACAAACAAACAAAAACTTAAGCACTTTTGATCCATGGAAGGAAGGACTTAGGAGACACAGAAGCTCAGTTCTATTTTCCTACAGAATTAGCACTACACTATGAAGTCAAATACCCAGAGTGGTGGAAGAGAAGTGGACATATGGAGGAGATACTTTTCCAATCCTAAAACAAGAACAGTAAGTTGCACACAGTAGACATTCAAAGACTGTGGGCTGAACGACTCAAAGGGAAGTAGCAGGATAAGGTACAGGTGTAAATGCTGGTTACCTCTACCCTTTTCCTATTTTCACCAGTGGTAAACACAACCTGTAATTTAATCCTGCTTGCCCTTGCCATTTACACCAACATCAAGTCCCAAAAGTACTCTTAGATAAATATGTTGATTTTTAAAATAAAGCGGTAGAGAGGAGGTAAAGGAAGCAAGATTATAAGAAAAATTTTTTAGTTTCCTTCTTAGAATATACATAGGAAAAATGTGGAAATGGAAGAAAAGAGATGAATTTTATAAAACAACATATTCAATTGTTATTGAAAATTGTAATTTTTTAAAAAATTCTACTGCCTATCTATTCATCTTTTACTGACAAATGTATACTGCTTTGCCATTCATAAACAATGTCACATAATCCTCACAATAACCACATGAGGTCTCTACCTCACTTTACACAGTATGGACTGAAGCTCAGAGACGTTAAATGATTCACTCAAGATCAAAAAGTCAACAAGTGACAGGGCCTGGATTCAAACCTGTCGCTGGCTTAGATTCTAGTATTTTCTTCACTATGTCACGGTGATGATAACTCAATTACTGAAATTCCATGTAGTGGATAAACTGGGGAAATCACAATGTAGAAGGGAAAAAAAGACAGGACTTGAACTCTCAACTGGCATCAGGAAGCAAAATGTTGTGCCAAACTTTTTAGGATTTAAAATCATCTTGCTATCTCTTGGTGGACTCAAGGACAGAATTCCAATTTGGTTATCTTTATACTTACTATAGAAAATACTTGGTACAGCACCTTATACATAGCAGATCCACCAAAACAATTTAGAAAATTGAATTAGTTAGCATGTAGGTGTTAGCTTGGGCACGTTAACACATCCTTTTAATGTTTTACTTGAGCACTGTCTAACAAGGCTGCCTGAGAGTCATCTGACTCCCTGCAGAAAGGTAAGGTTATTTGACTTAGCATTTACTATGGATTAGGGCTCAGACTCTCTAAAATTAGCTGTCTACTGACAGAAAAATAAAATGCAGAAGATTTGTGTCTGGTCAAAATATAAATGAATTTTGTCCAAGTGAGAGGACAACCTCAAAGATTCTGTTTTTATGTTAGGACAGTAGCCATATTTTTTACTTATTAATCTTATTCATCATTCTTTTTTGCACTGATTATAAGTATATATTTTTCAGTTTTGGGAACCTCCTTTGAACCAGCTTTGTCATCCTGCTAACTTTTTCATTAACTATTTAAACACATTATTTAAACACACATTCATTATATATTGATATGAGAACTTTGTTCTTAACATTTTTAAAATTATACATTGATACTTTTTAGAGTTTTTCATATTGTTTGATGCTTTCTGTTTTTTTCTTTTTTTTTTTAGATTTTTTATTTTTTCCTTTTTCTCCCCAAAGCCCCCCGGTACATAGTTGTGTATTCTTCGTTGTGGGTTCTTCTAGTTGTGGCATGTGGGACGCTGCCTCAGCGTGGTCCGATGAGCAGTGCCATGTCCGTGCCCAGGATTCGAACTAACGAAACACTGGGCCGCCTGCTGCGGAGTGCACGAACTTAACCACTCGGCCACGGGGCCAGCCCCTGATGCTTTCTGTTTTTTTATCCTTTTTGTGGTAGGTGCACTTTAGTACTTTTGTCTTTTGTGAAAGGATTTTGTTTATCTTATGACAGAAAATGAATTTATTGGGAAGATGTGGGTCATCTCACAGAATTGATGGGAAAATGAAGAAGAAATCTAAACAAAATTGCAGCAGAAAACACAAAACACAGCTAAGACCTTGCTGCCAGAACAGTGCCCTTAATGTGTGACTGTTGGCACTATTGCTAGCACTTCATGGAATATCACTCCCAGAGGACGCTGCTGCTACATCCACCAGTAGCATGCTGGAATGTAGCCACATATAAATTTGACATTTCCCCAATTTTCATGCATCATCCTTTCTAGCATTCTAAGCAGAGCATTCATTTGGACAATTCTATGTCATTTTGACGAAAAATATATCTACTTAAAATTTAAAGATTATCTATGGACAATATTTTCATTTCAGATAATCAATACTTAGAGATTATTTTATTACAAGTTTTCCATAATTATTTTCTAGACTTGTACAGGGTTTCACATGAATAGAGCAGAATCAGACATTGATTATCTACCTATGAAAGACTCTTACCAGGGCCAAGCCCATCATGGCCTATGACAATCTTGTACAAATCCCCAAGGTGCACAGCTTCCAAGGAGAAGGTGTCAGTCTGTAACAAATCAAAAAAGTATAGTTTGATCCAGACTACAAGTCTGATTTCTAACTAGAGTAAAAATTAAGATACAGTAAAAACTGATGGTGAGAAGAATTATGTTGATTCAGTAAATACACAAATCTGTATAAATTAAGAAAGTAGAGATAAAACAATTTTAACTGATAGAGTACAGTAATAAGTTTTCAAATATACCCTGCCCCTCTTTGTTGCCAAGTTTTCATTATAAAAGCACAAATTTTGGAACCCTCTAGAATAATATTTTTCAAATATTGATAACATAAATGTAATAATTATAAAATATACTAAAAATTTCCATTCATTTGAATACAACTGAATCTTATCTCCCATGAGATGGAATTTTTCTTAGTAATGTTTCTGGGCCATTCATAAATATAATGTTCCTAAAGTAATTTTAGGATGCTGATGCAAGAATTATTAGAAATTTATACCAGTGCTCTGAAGTCCCAGTGTGCTGTTGCAATCAAACCTATTAATGTTTGTGGCTCCAGTGGTTTATGTATTCAGAATATGGGTAAAACTGAGGAGCCCAGAGTTCCTTTGGTAATATTTAAGATAATGCTACAGGTTAAAATGCAAAAACATACATGATGTAGCATATCAATTGAAAAATAATCCAGAAACAAAAAGTAACCTTTGCATTTATATAGTGTCTTATGCATTTTGGAATACTGTCACATACATTTTATTTTATCTTTAAAAGTGACTCAGTGAGAAAAAAACATATCCATTTTCTATAAGAAAAGTGAGGCAAAGAACCAAGATTAGAGCTCAGTTCCTCTGATATGTAATAAGACTACTTTCCTTTGCAACCACTCTGCCTTTATATAAGGGACCTAGAAATAATATAAATAACAGATAACAAAGCCATTAGTATTCATTAGCAAAAAAATAGTATCCAAGCATGGTACAGGTTAATGGGTAATACAGTTATCCTTTATCCACGAAATAGATCTGCTAGAAAAGGAAGACTTGCTATGCAAAAACAGAAAATATTGGCAGAAAAAATTATGAGTTACAATACTTAATTGATGTAGAGAAAGCTAAAAAAAAAAAAAAGACAGAGAGAGAGAGGAAACATGCAATGGAAACATCCTGAGATACTCAAAGACTACTTGTGGCTTTTCATGTACCCATGCACCTCTCCCTACTTGGCATAGTGCATTACGACTGGGAGGAAATGTTCAATACTCTAGATCCTCTCTTGGGAAAGAAACAAAAGAGTGGACAACGCATACAAAATTCTGGCTTCTCTGAAGGCTACCTAAGGGATTGGTTTCTCACTCACTTAATCTGAAGTACTAACAGTAATGGCAGCATAGTTTGGAAGCCAAGGAAAACAGAGGAGAGTACCATAGCATGTAGAGCTACAGAGATTCTGTAGTACAGCAGGCAGACATGGGGTGGGGCAGGAGATTATGGGCACTGGAGAAGAAACAGAAGCAAGCATCTTAGGGAAATTAAGACAGTAAAAACACATATACAAACCCAGAGAAGAGACATAGCCAGAAAAAGTCCGAGAGGTCCCAGAAACTAACCAGGCTCATTGGTGAAGGTCTTCCCTGACACAAAGTTAGCCCTTTAAGATTGGGAGAGAGAGTTGTTTTTTCAAATGCCCAATCTCAGCAAAACATCACAATGCATATAAAGAAAGAGGGAAACATGGCCCAATGAAAAGAATGAAATAAAATTCCAGAAACTGGCCCTAAAGAAACGCAGATGTCTGAACTTCCTGAGAAAAAATTTAAAACAACTGTCTTAAGTTCAATGAACTAAAAGATAATGCAGAAAGTCAACTAAAAAAATCAGGAAACTGATGCATGACCAAAACAAGAATATCAACAAAAGGAAAGAAAAAATATGAAAGCACCAAATAGAAATTCTGGAAATGATAAACACAACAATTGAATTGACAAATTCATTAGATAGTTTCAACAGTAGACTTGATCAGGCAGAAGAGAAAGAGTCAGTGAACTAAAAGACAGGTCATGTGAAATCATCTAAACTGGAAAAAAAAATGAATAAAATGATGAGAGCCTAAGGAACTTATGGGATACCATGGAACAAAACAGTATATGAATTATAAGAGTCCCAGAAGATGACAAGAGATAGAAAGGGCAAAGAGCTTATTTGAAGAAATAATGTCCAAAAACTTGCCAAATCTGAGGAGAGAAATGGACATACAAATTCAAGAAAATCAATGAATTAAAACTAAGATAAACTTAAAGAGACCCAAACCAAGACACATTATCACCAAATTGTCAAAAGTTAAAGAAAAGATCCTGAAAGCAGCAAGAAAAAAGCAATTGATCACGTAATACTGAGCTTCTATAAGTTATGAGTGGATTCCTCAGCAGAAATCATGTAGGCTAGAAGGCAATGGGATAATACATTCAAACTGCTAAAAGAAAAATCTGTCAACCAAGATTTCTGTATCCTTCAAAAATAAAGAAAATTTAAGACCTTCCCAAAGAAATGAAAGCTGAGGGAGTTCATTACCACTGGATTTCCCTAAAAGAGAAGGTAAAGGCAGTCTTTCACATTGAAAGAAAAGTACACTAGATAGCAACATAAAGCCATACAAAAATATATTCTCCCAGTAAAAGTAAATACATGGAGAAATATAGTAACTTCTATTATTATAATTTCACTGCATAAGTTTACTTATAATTCTTGTATAGAACTAAAAGATAAAAACATAAAAAACTATAAACCTATGTTAATGGGTATATAATATAAAAGGACATATTTGTGACATCAATAATGAATCTACGAAGGTGGAACTATAAAAGAGTAGTTTTGGTATTGAAGTTTGAAGTTATCAGTTTAAAACAGATTGTTACAACTTTAAAATGTTTTACATAGCTGCAATGGTAACCACAAAGATAATATCTATGGAAGATACACAAAAGGAAGAGACACCAAACAAAGCATTTCACTACAAAAAATCAACAAAACACAGAGAAAGACTGTAAGAGAGGAAAGGAGGGACAAAAAAGCTAAAAGACATATAGAAAACCAAAAAAATGGCAATAGTAAATATTTCTCTATCAGTAATTACTTTAAATGAAAACTGATTAACTCTCACATCAAAAACATAGGCTGAATAGATTAAAAAAATTACCTATATACTGACTAAAAAATAGACTTACTTCAGACAAAAGGATACACACAGACTGAAAATAAAAGAATGGGAGAAGATACATCATTCAAATTCTAACCAAAAGAGAGCAGGAATCCATACTTTATAAGACAAAATAGACTTGAAGTCAAAAATTGTCACAAAGAAAGATATTGTATAATGATAAAGAGTCAGTTCAATAGGAAGCTACAACAATTATAAATATATATGCACTAACTTCAGTCTTCCCAAATATACAAAGCAAACATTAACAGACCTGAAGGGAGAAACAGACAGCAAGACAATAATAGTAGGAGATGTCAATGCCCCACTTTCAATAATAGATACAAGAGCTAGACAGAAGATCAATAAGGAAACAGAGGACTTGAACAACACTTATAGAACAACTGGATAGAACACACATACACAAAACTCTCTACTCAACAATAGCAAAAGCAAAATATACATTTTTCTCAAGTACACATGGAACATTCTCCAGGATAGATCATATGTTATTTCACAAAACAAATCTTAACAAATTTACAAATACTGAAATCACATCAAGTAATTTTTCTGATAACAATGGACTGAAACTAGAAATCAATAGCAGAAGGAAAACAGGAAAATCTACGAAGACATGGAAATTAAATAACACACGCTTAAACAACCAGTGTGTTAAAAAAGAAATCACAAGGGAAATTAGGAAATATATGGAGACAAATGAAAATGAAAACACAATATACCAAAACTTATGGGATGCAGCAAAAGCAGTGCTAAGAGGTAAGGTTATGCCCTTAAATGATTACATTAAAAAAGAAGAAAGGGGGCTGGTTGGGTTGCATAGTGGTTAGGTTCACATGCTTGGTTTCAGCGGCCTGGGGTTCACGGGTTCAGATCCAAGGCAAGGACCTAGCAACACTTGTGAAGCCATGCTGTGGAAGCATCCCAGGTGAACTAGTGGAAGATTGGCACAGATGTAAGCTCAGCGACCATCTTCCTCAAGCAAAAAGAGGAAGATTGGCAACAGATGTTAGCGCAGGGCCAATTTTCCTCAAAAACAAAAAAGAAAGATTTCAAATAAACAAACTAAATTTACAAATCAAGGAACTATTTAAAAAAAGAACAAACTAAACCAAAAGTTGGCAGAAGGAAGGATATAATAAAGATTAAGCAGAGATAAACAAAATAGAGAATAGAAAATAACATAAAAAATCAAGGAAACAAAGAGTTGGTTTTCTGAATAGATCAACAAAATTGACAAACCCTTAGCTAGATGAACTAAGAACTATGAGAGGACTCAAATAACTAAAATCAGAAATGAAAGAGGGAACATTACAACCAATGTCATAGAAATAAAAGAGGATTGTAAGAAAATTTTATTAACAATTACATGCCTACAAATTGGACAACCTAGAAGAAATGGATAAATTCCTAGAAACACACAACCTACCAAGAAAGAATCATGAAAAAATAGGACACCTGAAGAGACCAATAAATAGTAAGGAAATTGAAGTGGTAATCAAAAATCTCCTGAGTCCCAAACATTTAAAGAAGAATTAACACCAACCCTCCTCAAACTTTTCCAAAAAACAGAAGAGAAGGGAATACTTCCAAGTTCATTCTATAAAGCTGGCCTTAGCCTGATACCAAAGCCAGACAGACACAAGAAAACTACAAACCAATAACCATGATAAACATTTATGCAGAAATACTCAACAAAATATTAGCAAACCAAATTTAAAAGTATCTTAAAAGGATTATACACTATGACCTAGTACGATTAATTCCTGGAATGAAAGGATGGTTCAACATATGAAAAATCAATGTGATAAGCCATATTAACTGAATGAAGTACAAAAGTGAGATGATTGTCTCAATTCATGCGGAAAACACATCTGACAAGTTTCAGCACCCTTTCATGAAAAATGCACTCAAAAAACTAGAATGAGAAGTAAACTTATTCACTTAAAAAAATTGTGCTTCTATACATTAACAATCACCAATTTCAAAAGGAATTAAGAAATCAAATCCATTTACAATAGCATCAAAAAGAATAAAAACCTTAGGAATAGGTGTTGGCCTCGTGGCAGAGTGGTGAAGTTCGTGAGCTCTGCTTTGGCGGCCCAGGGTTTTGCCGGTTCAGATCCTGGGCACAGACATGGCCCTGCTCATCAAGCCACGCTAAGGCAGCATCCCGCATGCCACAACTAGAAGGACCCACAACTAAAAATACACAACTATGTACCAGGGGGCTTTGGGGATAAAAAGGAAAAATAAAATCTTTTTAAAAAAGCCTTAGGAATAAACCTAACCAAGGAATTGAAAGACTTACATGTTGAAAACTTCAAAAGATTGCTGAAAGAAATGAAAGCAGATACAAATAAACAGAAAGACATCCTGTGTTCATGGATTAGTAGAGTTAATTTTGCTTAGACATCAACACTACCAAAGCAATCTACAGATCCAATACAATCTCTATCAAAACCTGAATGGTGTTTTTGCATAAATAGAAAAATCCATCCTAAAATTCATATGAAATCTCTAGGGACCCTGAATAGTCAAAACAATCTTAAAAAATAAGAATAAACTTGGAGGTCTCACACTTCCTGGCTTCAAAACATGTTACAAAGCTACAGTACTCAAAATGGTGTGGTACTGACACAAAGATAGAGATATAGACCAATAATATAGACTAGGGAGCCTAGACATAAACTCTCAAATAGACAGTCAAACAATCTTTGACAAGGGTGCCAAGACCACTTAACAGGAAAAGGACAGTCTCTTCAAAATAGTGTTGGGAAAACTAGATATCCACATGCAAAAGAATGAAGTTGGACCCTTACCTTATGGCATATACAAAAATTAACCCAAAATGCATTAAAAATCAAATATAATACCCCAAACTAAAAACTCCTAGAAAAAAACATAGGGAAAAGTTTGAGAACATTGGATTTGGCAATGATTTCTTGAATAAGACACCAAAAGCACATGCCAAAAAAAAAAAAAAAACGCAAAATAGACAAATGGGACTACATCAAACTTAAAACCTTCTGTGCATCAAAGGACAAAATTAAAAGAGTGAAAAAGCAACTTACACAATGGGAGAAAATATTTACAAATCAAATATGTGACAAAGGGTTAATACCCAGAATACACAAAGGACTCCTACAACTCAACAACAAATAAACAAATAACTTGATTTTAAAATGGCAAAGTACTTGAATAAACATTTCTCCAAAAATGATTTACAAATCACCAACAAATGTATAAAAAGATGTCAAAACCAATTAACATTAAAGAAATGCAAATCAAAACAATGAGATATCACCTCACATCCATTAGGATGGTTACTGTCAAAAAACAGAAAATAACAAGGGTTGTTGAGAATAGTGAGAAACTAGCATGCTTGTACAACGTTGGTAGGAATGTAAAATGGTGAAATCACTATGCAAACAGTTGTGCCAGTTTCCCCAAAAATTATATATGGAACTTTCATATGATCTAGCAATTCTGCTTCTGAGTATATAGCCAAAAGAATAGAAGGTACAAGGAAATATTTGCATATCCATGTTCATAGCTGCACTATGAACAATAGCCAAGAGTTCAAAAAAATCAAATTTCCCATCAATGGATAAAGAAAATGTGATAATGGAATATTATTCAGCCTGTCACATTCTCCAACATGGATGAAACTTAAGGACATTATGCTAAGTGAAATAAGCCAGTCACAAAAAGACAATTATTGTCTGATTCTAATTATACGAGATATCTAAAGTAGTCAAATTCATAGAAACAGAAAGTAGAATGGTGGTTACCAGGGGCTGGGGAAGGGGGAAATGAGGAGTTGTTTAACGAGTATAAAGTTTCAGTTTTGCAAGATGAAAAATTTCTGGAGATCTGTTGCACAATCAGTGAATATACTTAACATTACAGAACTGTGCATTTAAAGATATTTAAAGGTGGTAAATTTTGTCTTATGTATTTTTTACCAAAATTTTTTAAAAAGTCAGACAAAGGGCTTTTTGCTCACTTACTTGTCCTCTTAAAAAACTGAAGGAGGTCTTCGATCTAAATAGTTGTCTGGATCCTGTATCTCCCTTTTCCCCATAGATAGACATGTAGACATTTGCTACTGTTCCAGCATTCCAAAGCTCACCCGTTGCCACGTGTACTTCATATATTGTCACTGACAACAAAAGAAAAATAAGCTTTATATGCCAGGCATTACTCATATGATAGAAAATTTACATGTATCTAATCAAGAGTTCCAGTTCCAGGTGAAATGTAGTAACACACTCCACCTAGTCTCTCCCACTGAATACATCTATAAAATCTTGACAGAATGCATGGAGCAGGTATATGAAGACTCTGAAAAGTATACAGTAGCAGGAGGATTGAGGAAGAAGACCAGAATTTAAAGTAAAAATAAACAGTGAGTTTACGATTTTTCATCCTCTGGTATCTCCCTTTTGGGCTTAGTGCACCAGAAACCTGGAAGGAGGCACTGGAGTTCAGACACAGGGAGCTCAGGAGAAGCTCTCTTGCTCTGGCTCAAGAAACAGGAGAAGGAACTCCTAACACATAGAAAAGGTTCAGATATTCTACCACTTTTCTTCTCTTTCATTTCTCCATTCTCTCACATCCAAGTACCTGGGCACAGAAGCATACAGGAGCCAACACTCTGAGAGAAAAACTTCACCTCTCTTCAGAGGAGCTGGACTTTAATAGGGTGCGACCAATCTCTATTGCTTTCTTTCCTTTCTCTGTCCTACCACTGCTTAGCCCTAGACACAAGAAGACTATAGAAGTGCACAGAAAAACAGGAAAACTAAAGCACCAGCTAATCAGCAAAATGGCTAAAAATAGGAGTCATGGAACTGAAAAATACCAAAGACGTTATGAAGAGGGAAGAAAAGCAAACCCATAAAGTTGTTTATGAACTCCTGAGCTCACCTCTAAGCTGAAGACGCATTAATCTGATCCTACCCAGCATACTAAAGACTTTGAGATCTATATTAACAGATAAACCTCCACCCAGACCCCAGATTCGCCAATGAATAGTAAACATGTGGGACAGATCTGAATAACACTGCAAAACTTTTAAAACTGAACTGACATTGGAACCACAGCCCACAGATGACAGGTGGGAATCTGTGGCCTGAAACTAACCAGTGGTCAACTGACTGTTAGAAGAAAAATATGAACATCCTTCATAGGATTTAAATAACACTCAGTGTCTCAAACAATAATATGCAAAATATCTAGGATGTAATTCAAAATTATTCAGCATATGAAAAATCAGGAAAATGTCAACTTACGCGGAAAAAGACAATGAAGAGTTATCAACTTCAAGATGACACCAGTATTAGAATTATCTGACACAGACTTTAGAACAACTATGATACAAATGAAACTATAAATAATCATGAAAACTCTTGAAACCAATGGAAAAACAGAAAGTCTAAGCAACAAAATAGAAAAGTTAAAGAAAAATCAAATGGAAATTTTAGAGCTGAAAAAAACACCATAAGCAAATTTTTAAACTGACAGAATAGGGTCTAGAGCAGAATGAAAAGGACAGAAGAAAGCACCAGTGAGCTTGAAGACAGATTAAATAGAAATTATCCAATGTAACAACAGAGAAAAATATTGTTTACAAAACAAACAGAGCCTCAGGGACCTGTGGGGCAATAAGAAAAAATCTAATATTCATGTCATACAGTATCTGAAGGAGAGGAAAAAGAATGTTAAGCTGAAAGAATATTTGAAGAAATAATGGCTAAAAACTTCCCAAATCTGGCAAAAGATATATACCCACAAATTCAAGAAGCTCAGTAAACCCCAAACACAATGAATCAAAAGCAATCCATGTCCAGAAACTTCATAAGCAAACTGCTGAAAATAAAGACGAAAAAAATTTGAAAGCAGCTAGAGAAAATGATACATTACTATAGGGAAATAATGATTCTAATGATTGTGGATTTCTCATCAGAAACCATAAAGGCCTAAAGGAAATGGCATGATATTTTTAAAGGGCTCAAAGCAAAGAACTGTCAACACAGAATTCTATATCCATCAAAAATATCCTTCAGGAATTAAGGTGACATAAAGACATTCTCAGATGAATGACAACTAAAAGAATCCCTTGCCAGAAGACTTGCTGTAAAAGAACTATTAAAGGAAATTCTTCAGAGAGAAGGAAAATGATACCAGAAGGAAATCTGAAACATCAGGAATGAAGGAAGAGCAACAAAAAGGAACTTGCAGAGAAACAGATGGAATAAACATGAAACTGAGTTCATGAGGTTAGCCACTTCACGGGGCACAGATATGCTAAAGGAGGAGGAATGATGCCAGCAAACTACCCTTAGTCCCCTGAGTTTGGTCAAAATCCTATTGATAACATTCTACAGCCACCTGTGCACAAAAAATGAGAGATTCCTTTTTTAAACTCTAATACAAATTCTCCACAAAGGCAATGATTAAAAACTGGTGTTAATAGCACATATCTCTATTTCCTGGATTTTCCAGAGAGTGTCAGCAAGGCCACCTTACAAAATCCTGGACACCTTTCAAAATAAAAAAGGCAGCTTCTGAGATCAAGCAAGTGGTTTTACCAAAGAGTACTTGTCAGGGCTGGCCCCGTGGCTGAGTGGTTAAGTTCACGCACTACGCTGCAGCGGCCCAGGGTTTCGCTGGTTCGGATCCTGGGGGCCGACATGGCACTGCTCGTCAGGCCACGTTGAGGAGGCGTCCCACATGCCACAACTAAAAGGACCTGCAACTAAGATACACAACTATGTACCAGGGGGGATTTGGGGAGATAAAGCAGAAAAGAAAGACAAAAAAAATTGGCAACAACTGTTAGCTCAGGTGCCCATCTTTAAGCAAAATAAAAGGAAGATTGGCCACACTTGTTAACTCAGGTGCCAATCTTTAAAAAAAACTATTTAAAAAAAAAGAGTACTTGTCCTGGGATGATTCCACATTAGATGGGTACAACAGAACCCCAGTGCACAACAAGGCCAACATAAGAAGCGAACTCTGAATAGTGGAATCCCATCTTCCTCACACACACACAAAAAGCATACCTTTAAAAAAAATAATAATAATCGGATTAACTCATCACTGGGGCTACCAAACATGCCCAACTGTCTCTGTGCAGAAAAAGAAACCAAACAGCATTTACACTGAGATACTTCCCAACTCTCATGAAACTATCCCCTCACCCTCTGCTTCTAAACTCTGCCCCACTCTTTAAGGCTAGTTCTGCCTCCTCCAAGATGCCAGTCCTCACCGCCCACTTACTCCTCCAAAATAACTGCAGCCCTTCGATGCACCTCACGTCTTTCAGTACCTAATGCTCACACCCTCACACCCCATACTACTCTAGAAGGGGGTCCTGGGACATTCTCAGCAATCAGATACAACATGCAATACTTAAGGGCAGGCCTGGTCCCTGACTTTCCTCAATTTGCTCTTCGGTGCCCAATAGAGAGCAGGGCAGAATACCAGGCAAAGACTGAATGACAAGTGTATGATTCACTGCAATCCTGGACAGACAACACTTCCTTTCCAACCCATAGATGGTTCCACACAAGAAGGCAAAACTTGGAAAAACAAATATTTTCAATCAAACATGCTACAGTATCTTTAGGGGAAAATGCCATCCACTGTTGAAACAACTTCCAAAGTTCAAACAAATTTTAAGTCAATGTAACTACTCCAAGATGTTTCATGTGACAAAAGGCTGGAAAAATAAACACAGTAGATGTCTCAAAATAATTCTAACAATAATCTACACTCATAAGTTACAATGAAACTACTGCATAGCTTACCATTCATATACAGTTATTTAGCATAAAGGACAGAAAATGCAGTGAAGTAAAACTTTGCTTTACTCACTTGGATATTTTCCCTTAAGTTGTTATAATAGGGCATAATAATAAAAACATCAGATTAAATGAATCAATACTTAGGCCAACAGCACCATGTGAAGTAACTTTTTTAAGTAAAATATCTCAATTTAAATTTACAATTCAAAAAAATAATCCTTCACATTTGTGTATATTGCAGGTTACGAAGCACTTTCATATACATTATTTAGCTTATTCCTTGAAACAACCTTGTAATACAGAAAAAGGATTATTATCTCAGTATACTTAGGCTATACTAAATTTATTAAAAAATGTTTTTCTGGGGGCTGGCCCCGTGGTCAAGTGGTTAAGTTCACACGCTCCGCTTCGGCGGCTCAGGGTTTTGCCAGTTCGGATCCTGGGCGTGGACACAGCACCACTCATCAGGCCATGCTGAGGTGGCGTCCCACACAGCACAACTAGAGGCACTCACAACTAGAATACACAGCTATGTACTGAGGGGGCTGAGGGGAGAAGAAGGAAAAAAAAAAGATTGGCAAAAGATGTTAGCTCAGGTGCCAATCATAAAATATATATATATATTTTTTCTTTCTTCAATAATAAATTAACCTTAGCTTACTGTAACTTTACTTTATAAACTTAATATTTTTTAACTTTTTGACTCTTTTGTAATAACACAGCTTAAAATACAAACACACTGTACAGGTGTACAAAATATTTTCTTTCTTTATAGCCTTACTCTAAAAGCTTTTTTCTATTTTTATTTATTTATTTATTTATTTTTTGAAGAAGATTAGCCCTGAGCTAACTGCTGCCAATCCTCCTCTGTTTGCTGAGGAAGACTGGCCCTGAGCTAACATCCGTGCCCAACCTCCTCTACTTTATATGTGGAACACCTACCACAGCATGGCTTGCCAAGCGGTGCCATGTCCACACCCGGATCCAAACCAGTGAACCCTGGGCTGCCAAAGCAGAATGTGCAAACTTAACCACTGTGCCACAGGGCCGGCCCCTACTTTTATTTATTTATTTTTTTTTTACTTCATAAACTTTTTTGTTAAAAACTACAACATAAATATACACTTTAGCCTAGGCCTACACAGAGTCAAGATGATCAATATTACTGTCTTCCACCTCCATATCTTGCCCCACTTCAAAGGTCTTCAAAGACAATAACATGCATGGCACTGTCATCTCCTATGATAACAATGCCTTCTTCTGGAATATGTCCTGAAGGACCTGCCTGAGGCACTTCTTGAAAAGAAGGCTCTCCTGAAAAGAGGAGGTGTCACTCTTTTCAGAAATATGT